TGTCAAATCATAGAACTGGGAGCGAAGGTTAGGATTGGTGTAAATCCATTCTGGTCTTACAAGGCGAGTTAATGCATTGGTTGGTCACACTCGATGACTTGGTTGATAGAGGTATTGTACCCGACCATTGTTATTAATTGTAGTCATTATCTGTATGGTGCTTGATTATTTATAGGCTGCAACCCATGTATCGGTCTTCAGCATCCCATGTTCGTCGTAAGAGGTGACTTACACGTACAGGTGGTAAGGCTTGCTGGGTTGGTTGACACATGTCATCGTATCCCAATTGTGTGGATCGATGCTCATGACATTGATCACTGGATTGTCTGGTCCAAACTGGATTATTTACAGACTGAAATAGTGCTGAGTGTTAAACAGCAAACAAACAAAATGTACAGGCTTCTGTCATGTTGTTGGAATAATGCTGAATGTGCATTGAAGTTCAGACACACATTCAAATCTACAAATTACAAATATGAATGAGTGAGTGAGTTTAGTTTAGTTTTATGCCACTTTTAGCAATATCACAGCAGGGGACACCAGAAATACGTTTCACACATTGTACCCTTGTGTGGAATCAACTCTGGGTCTTTGGCGTGACAAGCAAACGCTTTTACCACTAGGCTACCAGACTGCCCACAAATATGAGTGATATATTGAAAATGTTTGTTACCTGGGAAAATGTAATTACAGATATCAGTCAACAGTTGTCTCCGCATGCTAGGTATGTCTTAAATGAGAGAACTAATGTTGTTTATTTCCATAGCCACAATGATTTACTCAACTAAGAAATATGATAAACAAAGATGATAATTTACTAAAGTGTTGGGAATCATGACGTTTAAGACATTATGCCTACTGTGGTTGTATTCTACTGATCGAAGTCAAGTCTGTTTGTTTTGGATAGTCCCTTGTCATGGATAGAGTCCATTGTCATGGATAGAGTCCCTTGTCATGGATAGAGTCCCTTGTCATGGATAGAGTCCCTTGTCATGGATAGAGTCTGTTGTCTGTCAGGGACAGTCTATAGTCATAGATTATAAGTCTTTAGTCTGTCAGGGATAGTCTGTAGTCTTAGATTATAAGTCTTTAGTCTGTTAGGGATAGTCTGTAGCCACTCACAGATAGTCTGTTATCACAGACTCAATTCTCGATCAGCTTCTTGCCTTCTTCCAAGGTCTATTTATGTGATTCACTAGAGGATAATGAATTGTAATCAAGGTTAGCTTATTTGATAATGTTTTTGCATTTTGTTGCCGCTGAACGTCTCTTCTCCGAAATGGCTGAACGGATGCAAGTTGTGCAGGGAGTTTGGCCCCTTAATGTGTCGCAATTTTTCTTCATGGCTTTTAATGAAACAACTGACTGAGAATGGAACACGATTCTTTCTTTTTTCGTCTTCAGAAGCCTCAGCTCTTTGGTTGAAGATAAGTAGCAGTGTACTCGGGCTCAGACTGAATGATTTGTGGTTTAGTGTTTTTCACATAAAAAAAATCAAACCTAATTCAGACGATGTTTATAAATCTCGTCTTCACAAGGCACTGGCAGCTGCGACGTTATGTAAATGATATTATATCACCACTGACTTTAAAACATTTGTAGGAGTATCAGTCCTGGCAGCCAACACATGATTTTCCAAAAATAACAGTTTTAATACTCTGAAAGTGTTGTACTAAACAAATCGTGAATGCAGTGAGGCTTTTCATTGATGTGTTTTATCATTGACTTGTCCTGGGTGCACCTCCCGTCGTGAACATCCAAACCCTAACTCTCACCCTATAAACCCTTTAGAAGCTCATTTTGCATAAACATTTACTGGAGGTCTCCACAATTTGTTTTTATTAACATATTTTGACTCTTGCGGAATAGTGCCCACAGACATTCTTGCTTTTCTGAAAATTAACAGACCAAGACATGTTGGGAAATTTAGACTATTTCTGTTCTTTTGGTTGTTTGGATTTTTTGTTTCAGGGTCTATAAATCAGTGTTTCAACTTTTCAATTTCACTGGTCACATTCTACAGACTCCCTTACCCTGCTGTGTAAGAAATTGCATGAATTTAAAATGACACTGTCTGTGCCATGCTAGTCAGGCAGTGCCCCTTCTGGATGTTTGCTAGGAAGTATTTTGTTTTCACAGCAAGCTCACAATGCCCAATGTGTTGGCCTGTTTCATATTGAAGTCTGCATTGATTCCTTAACAATGTCAGAAACCATCCTATTGTTTACTGTAGAGCTATATTAAGAATCATTGTTGTTTTAATTAGGATTGCAAAAAGAAAATTTCTTTTGATTAAAAAAAATGTAGATTCTGATGAATTGTTGTTAACAACATGCAATGGTCATAGGAATATATTTGATGAGGAGAAGGTGACAGCTGTAATTGTCCGGTGTATAAGTTATTTGTCTTGGCATTTAATTTAAGAACTTTGTTATATCAATGAACACAGATGATAAAAGTAGACTGGGATTTTACAAGCATGACCACAGAGTCGATGAGCAGAAGCGGACGGTCAAACTTGCTTTTTTGGTTGATGGGAACTTGAGTGAGTGAGTGAGTTTAGTTTTACGCAGCACTCAGCAATATTCCAGCTGTATGGCGGTGGTCTGTAAGTTATCAAGTCTGGACCAGACAATCCAGTGATCAGTGTCATGAGCATCGATCTACCAATTGATACGATGACATGTGTGAACAAAGTCAGCGAGTCTGACCACCTGATCACATTAGTCACCTCTTACGACAAGCATGGGTTACTGCTAGTGGGCAGTGGGGTAGCCTTGTGGTTAAAGCGTTTGCTCATTGCATAAAGACCTAGGTTTGATTCCCCACATGTGTGATATTGCTTAAATGTTGCTAAAAGCAGCGTAAACTAAACTCACTCACTCACTCACTCTGCCATGCTACAGTTGATGTATTCAATATAAAAGCTCTTGTAGTCTTCATACCCTAAAGCATGAATTTAAAAAAAGAGTCCCACTAGATTCTAGATAATGATTTTGCATTAGTCCAGATTGCTTCAGCTCTGGGAATTAAGGAATGTTCTGGGCTCCATGTGAATTACTGAATATATGTCGATATATATTTTAAAGGAAGATAACTTTATTTCTGGGACTGAATGTCAGTGTAAATGCTGTTGTTGATGGTAAGATTGTCAGAGTTCAAGAAGGATAACGCTAATGGTTCTATAGGAACAGATATAGGATACATACACAATATGTAATATAGGTAGGTTAAGATAGCAGGTGAATAGTGTTGAATGAAACTGCCAACAGCAGTACAGCTATGCATCACATCAGCCTATAAATAATCAAACTTGGACAAGCCAATCAATGCTTGATGTTATTAGTAACACACTACCCTGAGAGGGTCTAGGGAGAGTTTCCCTACAAACCATGAGTAGGGTGATTCGGGGACTAAGTGCTTTATGGTCATAAAGTTATTTATAGGTCATCCCCTCCCACAATATAGTTCAATAGAGTTGACAGTCTGTGCCTGGGGGTCATGTTCTAATTAACATCCCCATCCCCACCCCTTCCTCAACCTGTCAGGGTTCACATTGCCCAGGGTTAAATGTCTTCAGACACCTCTACCCTGACCTACTAGCACCCCCACCCTGATGTATCTCCCCTATGATTGCCTCCTGCCTCATCAACTACCTGTACTCCACCCACAAACAACCATCACTCCACCTTCCTCACCTGCCATCATCCCTACTCTCTACCCTCTTCACCTCCCTTCCTCCTGCCCTACCAACCATTGTCTTCACCTCCCCACCCACTCCCCCAACAGCCATTGTCTTCACCTCCCCACCACTTCCCCCCACCAACCATTGTCTTCACCTCCCCACCTCCACCAACCATTGTCTTCACCCCACCCCCACCAACCATTGTCTTCACCCCCACAAAACATTGTCTTCACCCCTTCACCCCCACCAAACATTGTCTTCACCCCACCAACCATTGTCTTCACCCCACCCCCACCAACCATTGTCTTCACCCCCACCAACCATTGTCTTCACCCCTTCACCCCCACCAAACATTGTCTTCACCCCACCAACCATTGTCTTCACCCCACCCCTACTCAAAGACTACCCCACAATCTGACTGACGTTCTCCATGTCCCAGTTTGGGGGAATCAGTGTTGGATATGCCCCCTCCGAAAACAGTTTACCAATGTTTTACTAAATGTAAATCTAAATTGACTTTCATACTCCACTCCACCCCCACCCCGAAGTACTTCCTACATGGGATTATAAACTGTTATACCACCACCCTCACAATTAGTTCCTTTAACCCTCAGGTCATTCCTGTTGGAGGATTGATCTCCACCCCTTCACCCCTTCACATCCACTCCTACCCCAAACCCTCTCCAAGCTGTCAGAGTTTGCAGTATTCCCTGGTGTTTTATCAGCGAGATAACTCTGATAGGGTATGATCATTATGTGTGTCTATGAATTATAGCCTTGCCTTTAGTGAGATAAATCAATTATCCCATCTTCTATGTTCCTATAATTGCTTCATGTCAGTCTCAGCCACAAATATTCCTTCCTGAAGTGTCATTTTATGAACAATTGTAATTTTAATATTGTGATAATTAAATTGGGATATTCATATATTGTCTTATTTATGTATAATTTGAATATTGTACACTTTTTATACTTTTAGTCAAGTTATGAATCGTTATCTCATTAACCGTATAAAATAGGTTCAAAGTCAAATAATAATTCCGGGCTATTGAGGGCAAGGCAGGAAAACCCGTTATTACCTCGTTGTAAGCACAACCAAAATTAATAGCCTCAGTTAACGCACTGACATAAGCATTTGAGGTAAACATCCCCTTGTAGCGTTATAACGAGGTATAGGCGTAGACTGCACCAAATACAACACAGCACTGTGTGGCCATGTTTTCCTGCTATAGAGGGCCTCACCCACTCAGATGTAAACACAGCTATCGACCAATCATCTGCCCTACTTCATCAGGCACGACTCTGATGTAATGTGAAAATGATCGCCTTCCGTGCCGCTCCCAACCACTCCCACAATTCCCCTCTCCATGCAAGCATACCACCACAGTCGCCTGACTCACTGGCTCACCCCCCTAAGCTATTGAGGACAATATTCAGCCAAGGGCAGGCACGTCCCACTAGTTTAGCTCAACCTCAGTTTGTAACTGGGTCTCCTGTCTTCTCTAGGCTTTCTCAATTCTAAAACTTGGATTTGTGTGTAAAAGCTGTACTGGAATACCTTGTGGAAACAGATTATTCAGAGATGCTTTTTGTGAGTATATTGCCAAATATAAGCTTTTCTTTCGAATATGGTGGCACTGTTGAAGTTCCCTTGATGAAAATCTTGGCAAGGGAGTGGCCTTATATCGTTTGTTATGGCAAGATTCTATGTATTCAGTGCTTGTTTGAACAGATGTTACGTTCAGTACCACCTCTGTAAAGTTAACGGTTGTCAATTAGAACGCATGTACTGTCTACTTGGTAAAGATTTTGAAAAGCCGAGGGTCCCAATGTTTGAGGGCCAACTTCTTGTCAACACTTTCTATTGTCGTCAACCTTTCGAGAAGCTTGGATTGTATAGATACATTTCTGTGAAGCATTTATCATAATATTTCCTCAACAAATAGAATAATTTCATTATTATTTGATATACTTTTGGAAAATTATACCGAGTGGGTGTGGATAAAGTATATCTTTATCACATTTGATTTATTAATGAGAGAAATTGGGTGTGGCCTCTCTTGCCATTTATTTTCATGAATTATAAGACAGATGTTATTAATTGAAGGATCTATTTTTGATCTCACACTTTAATACGATGCACTCAAAATGTTCCTTGGAACAAGAAAACATGTTTCAAAAATATTTTAATTATTTGATAAGCAGTTACCTATAGTTTTTAATAGTCTTAAAATTAATAAAATTAAAATTGTTGTTATTGACTTTTTAAATATCTATTGGTGGCAGATGTTGAATCAAAAGATGTTAAAATGTTGAGGTCGCGGTAATACTACACATATAACTTGCTATGAGGTTATGTTTTGTGTGGTAGTTTGAATATTACAATCAGTTTATTATAAAACTTTCATGTTGTTGTACATAATTGTGTTTACAGAATGCCAGAGTATAAAAAATGAACTAAGTATGACATTAAACTGGACATATTCTTTTGTGTGCTTGAATACTTTGATATTTCTTGTACAGCTAATGATATATTTCCAGTTGTTCATGCCTTAATGCATCGTGTGTACAAAGTGGCTTGTTACTGAAGACACGAGTGTACAGCTTGAGCCTATTAAAAAAGTTTGGTCTTGTACACTTAGCAATATTAGTCCATACGTAAAACTAAAAAATACTGAAAATGATGACAAACCACAGTTTTACAGTCAAGTAGCCAGTGTACTGTGTGCAAGTACCCTGTTAAACATATTATTATTATTATAGGATGGGATATTTATATAGCGCACATATCAATGTAAATATTTTGTTGTATTGTTGACATGCCTGTTACAATAACTGAGAGATTGTTTCAGGGTAAGTTGTCATTATTTATTATGGATGTATATGGCATTGATAAGCGTTCTTGTACTTGACCACTCATAAATACATAAATTAGCTGTTTAGAAACACCCACCCCACCCTGATGTAAGAAGTAACAATCTACTTACAGCAGGCTCTGACCTCTGTAACCTCTACACCTTGTCCCTACCCCCAGAACTCTCCTACACAAGTAGTATGTAGTCAGTATTATTCCTGTTTCATGGGCCCCGGGGTAGCCTAGTGGTTAAAGTGTTCGCTTGTTAGCTGAAGATCAGGATTCGTTTCCACATGGGTACAATGTTAGAACCCATTTCTGGTGTCCCCCGCCGTGATATTTCTGGAATATTGCTTTAAGCAGCGTAAAACTAAACTCAGTTTATTATTCCAGTTCAAATTTGTCTTCCCTTGTAGGCTTCTACTGGATGGGATAATAACTGGATTTATTTGTGGTTGGCAGTCAACAATATTCCAGCTATTTGTCATCAGTCAGTTAATAATACAGTCTTGACCAGATAATCCAGTGATTCATACATTTCCATTCAACAGTAACAGTATTTTTTTTTTTATTTGTTCTAAAAAAGTTTGGATTGTGATGCAAACATTTTTTTAACTGAAAATTTGAAAATTATACTGACACTGACGTAAAACAAGGCTCACTCTCTAATCAGTTTTGTTTTTGCTTGATGTGTGTTGGTGAGGTAGCCCAATGGTTAAAGTGTTGGCTTGGCACAACAAAAGCCTGGGTTTGTTTCACATGTGGTTACAATGTGGTAAATCCATACCTGGTGTCCACCTTGCGTTGATATGCCTGGAATACTGCTGAAATTTAACTATGTACAATAATAGATGTAGTTTTATTTAATAAATGATTTTATTCCCATTACATGTACTGAAAGCAGCTACCGCAGTCAAGTTGTCATGTCGCAGGAATCCATATTAAAAAACATTAGTTTGATCCACGCTAGAGAGTATCATCATCTTCCTGTCCGTCTGACTCTTTTTTAAAAAAAAGTGCAATTGTTTTTTTGTCGTTTTCAGCATTCCCTTGACACAATGACGGAAGACCGCAATCCCAGTGCCCACACCCATCCTGACAAACGCCCAGACATTCACTGCGACATGGATGGCTCCAGTGGCACCAGCACCCCTCAGTCCTTATCGCCAGGGTTGGAGGACCCTGCCTACCCCATAGACAGTATTCCTGAGGGAGTGTATGCCCCTACGCCCATTGAGGCCGATTCCAGTATTAACACAGTAAACTTGAACAAAAGTTTACATCGACCATCTCATCAAAATGACGCAAGGTACAACCTTATAAAGCTGAGTCAGATCAAATCTGCGTTTGCAAACCGCAGTCCGAATCACTCCAGTAGTGGAACTGTGGGCCAGATGTTTGCGTTGAAGAAACGCATCAAGACGGAAGCGGTGAATGGGGACTATGAGGTGGCTTTTAACTGCTCAAATTCAAATGGTGCTGATGATGTAGTGATTAAACAGGAGCCGATTGATGATGATGAGGAGGAAGAAGATGATGATGATGAAATGGATGAAGAAATTGAACGTGTCCACGTCCCCGTTACTAATCGCCCAGTGAAGAGAAATAAAGACGGAAAGGTTTGCACTTTTATGTCAATTTTATAGAATTTGTCGTTTATATCAGGTCTAGAAATTTCTTTTCAGGACAATTACTCTTACGCTTCAATTTAGCGAGACAAATGTTGAATGCATTTTTTTAATGCCAGTTTATTCATTGGTCCATGAAATATAGAAAAGTGAAAACTGAGTCCGTTACATTTTTCTGTAACCTGATTGTGTTAATGTGTTGTCTGCCTTGCACCAGTCTCGATATACTTTTTAGTATAAGTCATAACTTCTAGTTTATGTGAATAGTAAGAGCAAGTTGCCCCTTTGAAGGCTGGCGTTCTGGGCCCCGTTTCACAAAACTCTTGTAAACCTGAGATTTCGTAACTTTTCTCTAGCATTCGTACCTCCTATACTGTAGCATAGGAAGTACGAGATCTTAGGCTTACGAGAGCTTTGTGAAACTCTGAACTGTATGCTTACCTTGAAGTGCCCATTATATTGATACAATTACTACACTTAAGGACTTAGTTTTAGTACAGACTTGGAGCAAGGCTAGTGTGTGGTCATACCCCAGAAATCTTCTTTGGGAAAATCCAGGACAGACAAATATGTCAGTGACCTGGTTGTGTCATGGGCTCCCAGCTGTGACTTTGTTGTTTAATGCGGCGTCATACACAGGCACTCAGTGGAGTAGCCCAGGCGTTAAGGCTTTCACTCATCACCCTGAAGACCCTTCGTATAACTGTTACACGACTACGACCTCTGTATTTGCAGCTGTAATTCCATGTTGGTAGGGTCACAGGTGCTAAGAGTCTCAGGTTTTACAAATTTCTCGTCTGAGATATATCTGTTAGCTCTGCAAGAAATTTACGAGCATGGGTTCGAATCCAGTTTTGTACTTGAGAAGTCTCCACATCCACATCAAGCTAATATGCCATCGTATAACTGATATGCTGTCCAAAGTGACGTAAAACTGAACTCACTCAATCCCTCTTTGTAGGTTTTTCCCCATTTATCTTTTCTTGTTAGTCCGACTCTTCATAATTACAATTAATACGATACCTCAAATACATCAAACAATAGTACAGGATTTCGGTCGTTACATTATGGATTTCTTCAAATTTCAACTGAAGTCTTTCTCATTATTGATAACAAGTTGAGACACTAATAGTGGACCCGTGAAGATCCGGGGTAGAATAGGTCTTCAGCAACCCATGCTTGTCATAAAAGGCGACTGCTTGTCGTAAAAGGCGACTAACAGGATCGGGTGGTCAGGCTCGCTGACTTGGTTGACACATGTCATCGGTTCCCAATTACGCAGATCGATGCTCATGCTGTTGATCACTGGATTGTCTGGTCCAGATTCGATTATTTACAGACCGCCGCCATATAGCTGGAATATTGCTGAGTGCGGCGTAAAACTCAACTCACTCACTCACTCACTAATAGTGTCAGACCATAATCACTCACACATACTATACCTGTCAGGACACTAGGTTCCCAGCAGCCTTTGCTAGGCAAAAATGGTCGCAAGATGGATTGGGTAGTCTTGCTCAATGACTTGCTTGATGGCATCCCGTCGCTCCTCAATAGCAGGGATCTTGTGCATAGTGTCAGTCACTGGATTGTTTGGTCCAGATTATTATATTATTATAATGAATTTCTATGATGCCTAGTATCTCAACTTGACGCTGTTCAATGGCGCATCACAAAGTCTAGGAGGGATTTTTATTCCGGATAACCCAAGCTGCTTGTGAGGCGCTAGAAGGTTATAGTCACATGACTTATCCCACCGGGGTACCCATTTTCTTCTGGGTGAACAGATTGGTATATTTACACATGGAATATCGCAGAATATGCATTTATCAACAAATGATGTGAAGCAGATTGATGCTCAAAGTGAGTTCCTTTTTTCCGGCTTAGAAGCATGAAGACATACTGCTGGATTTGAACATTTTGCATCAAACATCGTGTAATAGCAAGCTGTTCACCATGGATTGATTTTGGTTCATAGTTGGGGCTGTGTAGTCCAGAAATAGCTGATATTCAGGTGGAGTTATAGTGAGTACATCATTCAAGCACCTGCTTATGAAAAACCCCAGACCTGACTTGAAATCAATGATATGATACAAGCTGGCAAAATATTTGTAAAATAACTTGGAACTGTCCGAGATCAGTGTTGCATCACAGGTGTTGCAAACTGTCACACAGCTGGTGAAAATTTGACACAACTGATAAATGTGTAAATTGTAAGCAGTTTTACTTTTGTAAATTTCCCCCCCCAAAATGGTCATCATGGTTGTTGATTTAAATGAATCATTTTAAAAAGTTGCTGATAAGACCCAAACAAAAACTTGACTAAAATTTTTTTTCAATATATGTAATGAGTTTTCCGATGTATTGATTTGTTAATGGTCATTTTTAATCCTATATGTGCATGTTCTTGCTGTTATTGAAAGAGACTTATATATATCCCGATGTATCCTTAATAGTCCTTTTGAATTTTTGGAGAGAAAATTATCCACTTGTCAAAATAGTTGACCAGAAAATAGGTTTTTCATGTGCGATCAGACTGTGACAATTGCAAAGCGTCCTTCACATACTTGCTGGCTGGGGCTTGTCCTGTAGGCTTGGCGGTTTGGGGACTTCTCTTCATTTGATGTGTCACCTGATGATACTAAGGACCCTAACGAGGACGTGATGAGAGGGCTTGTTGTCAGTCGTCTCCAATTAGCCACGGAGCCAGCTCATCAAATACCAACCTCGTTCCAATAATGAAAAATTGACATAATCAACGATTTTGTCTCAAAATGTATTTTGTTTATTTTCCACGTTATTCATGATGTTTTGCATCTTTTATCAAGTTTACTTCTATGAAATAAGTTGCTGTTATAAGCCGGATAGCTTGGTGAAACAATTTATAATATTGACAAAGGCTTTTGTGTAGTTTACGGTAACACATTTCCTCCGGGAGTCGGTTTCGCCCTGACATTCGTCTCAAGTGTTTGATCCTAGTACTTACATTTCCCAGTAGGCGATGTGTCAGTGTGTCGTCCACCGCTAACTGCGGTCGCCGTGGCGTCAACAGCGCTGTGCCAACAACGACACGGGCTGACGAACGACAAGAGGCCTTGTTGCCTGCAGCTACTCAAGATATGCAGGCGAAGGAGCTGGACTCTGTAGTCACACTTTCCTGTATTTGTTTTTTGTCGGAGAGGAGTTCCAAAGACCACTGCCCAGTTCAAACAGTTCACTGAGATGGTTTTGTATAAAAATGACCACACCTTGATGAGAAATGTTTGAATGAGGATTTCTTTAAACACTGGTGGGTTAGAGAATATGTGATATTTGAGGTCAGAGCCTGCATAGTAATATATGACTCAGAAACAAGGCATGAGCATCTTTTATATACCAGCATATAAATGCCATGCTGGTTTCATTAAGTTGGTGTTTTTTAACTGTTGGGTAGAAAATAGCTTTAATGGAATTCCTTGTCAGGATTTAGCAGTTTTCAAAATTAACCGGTTCAGGTTTAAACATGTATATGAATCAAGTAAATGTTGAAGATATAACCCCATTTCAAACTCATCCGTTTCCTAAGATAAGTGGATCATCACATGTGGCAATAATGTAGTGGTAGATCAGCCTTCCCATCTATGGAAAACATTACAATCTTCACATACCATATATATCCTAATAAACTGCCTCAAATATAATTGTTCCACCAAAAACCCGGGTTCGAATCCCCACATGGGCACAATTGGTGAAGCCCATTTCTGGTGTCCCCAGCCGTGATAATGCTGAAATATAGCTAAAAGTGGCATAAAAACATACTCACTCACACACGCTCAAATACAAACCAAGTTTAAATCTCTTGCACACAGTGTAAGCTCCTCTTACTTCATGCCTCAGTCAGTTCGGGTCCCTTAGGGGTTTCTGGGTTGAAATAGGTCTGAAGCAGGGGTAAATGAATTGATCAGGGCCCCGTTTCACAAAACTCACGTAGGCCTAAGATCTCGTAACTTTTCTCGTAGCATTCGTACCACCTATACTGCAACATAGGGAGTACGAATACTACGAGAAAAGTTACGAGATCTTAGGCTTACGAGAGTTTTGTGAAACGGGGCCCAGGTTGTCAAGCTCGGTGATAGGATGATTGTATGTCATATTATGGTCATGGTGTGGATCATTGCAGATAAAGTCAATGACCGTATTGTCTGTTTTGTAAGAAACTCAGAAAATACAGACGAACCTTAACTGATATTTCCGTCATCCTAATTTCAGCTATTGTTAAAAAATAATCAGTTTCAACACACTATAGACATTTAATCCTGTTGTTGTTGTTATTGTGTTATATTGAGGAATGACGAGTATTAGAGCCTGCGTTCTGTAGTTTTAGGTTAAGGAAATGACCTGGGAGGTTTCTGTTTCATTCACTGTACATCAGGACACGTTGCTTCATGTGGCTACAGACCATCATTGGATAGCACAGGAAACATTAGGCCAGTGTAAATAAATCATCCGTTTATCAACCACGCCCATCCACCACTTAATTCTCCCTCTTGCTGTTTGTTTTAATTTTGTTCATACCCACATTTCAAAGATGTTCTTTTATTTAGGAAAATGTGTCACGGGAGATCAGTTTAATAATTATTTGAAGGAAGAGATGAACAATAACCAGGACATAAATACTTCCTTACTTATTTACTGACTGACTGAGTTTGGTTTTACCGCTTTTTAGCAATATTCCAGCAACACCAGAAATGGGCTTCACACATTGTACCCATGTGGGGATTCGAACCCGGGTCTTCGGCGTGCGAGCCAACGCTTTAACCACTAGGCTACCCCACTGCCCCTCTTACTTATTTAAATGAAAAGATAATCTATTAATGAATTTATATATATTTCAATAATTAATTAATTGTATTAATGCATCTTTTATGTTTGTTGTGAAGACTACATGATTATCGTATTAGATTTTGATTGGCTAGGCACTGTGGGGTAGCCTAGTGGTTAAGGCATTTGGCTTGTCACGCCGAAGACCTGAGTTCGATTCCCAACATGGGTACAAGTATGAAGCCCATTTCTGGTGCCCTCGCCGTGATATTGATGAAATAGTGCTAAAAGCGGTGTAAACCTAAACTCATTTGCTCACATTTTAAAGCAACAGTTATCAAAAGGACCATATATAATTTTAGTCACAACCCTGTAATGCCCAGTCTCACTCCAACACAAACCTGTAATTAGCATTGTCTTGGGCTCCATTTTGATTTGATTTTGATTTCTTGAGATATATTTTACATAAGGTAACACTGTTTCTGAAACTAAATATTAATCTAAATAAAATAGCTAGTAGTTTAATTTGTAATGAAAATATATCGTTTTCAGCACCTGAGTGAAATATTTGTACATCCTTTTCCTCACTTTCCAAGCAGTGATAGTATTCAGTGGTGACCACTCATATATGTTCAGTTGAAAATATGGGTTGGAGGGATAGCATAGTGGTACAATCTCAAGAACCAGGTTCAGCTCCTGCATGACCACGATGTATGAGGATCTTTCTTAGTAACCCCACTGTAACTTGAATAATGCTGAGTTTCACATTAAACCATTCTCACTCACTCATTCATCACCAGGGGCGGTGGGGTAGTCTAGTGGTTAAAGCGTTTGCTCGTCACGCCGAAGACCTGGGCTGTATTCCCCACATGGGTACAATGTGTGAAGCCCATTTCTGGTGTCCCCCGCTGTGATATTACTGGAATATTGCTAAAAGCGGCGTAAAACCATACTCAATCACTCACTCATTCATCAGCATGTAATACACAACCAGCATCGAAAACTGTTTCAATATTTACAAAGATCGGCTATGTTACCCCGGCCTCATCTCCTAGTCATGCATGATTGGACCAACAGGTCCCCAGAAGTCAAACCAGCCCTCTCTGATGTTTGATAAGCGTTTGACAACAATTTGACACCTTCACCAATTCCCTGTCTGTTGTTTAACGGTCATAGACGATAACATCCTGGGGAACTTTTTACAGTTTCATCCAGTCAAGCATCCTGTACGCTCACTTCCTTCAACTGGGGCGCGCTCTGTTGACATGAAGACTAGGACAACACCACCCGTCCTCTGATTAGACGCTTGAAATTTGTCTTTGCAACGATACCCATTTTCGGACTGCTTGATTGGTTGGGCTCTCTGAAAAGTGTGTGGAAGTTTGCCGAGGTTTTCACTTAATAGCAGCCAAGCCTCTCCCCTTGTAAATTTGGATACCATCCACGCTTGCACTGTTGTACTGTATGTATAAGGTGTGGCTAGCTTTCCACCGCCTATTCACAGGGCGAGAGGGAAGTGTAAGGATGCACATGTCTAGTGCAACTGCCGACGATTTTGCCTGGTTATACTGGGAACAACAGACTAAAGTAGGTTTTGGTGAATTTTTTTTTCAAAATGGTTAAACTACAGAGATTATTTTTATTACATGTTTATGAATTTTGTTTGTGCTTATTTGTTAATTAATTGAGGAGACATTAATGATGTCTGCTAGAAATTTGAGGGAGTGTTAGTTTTACTTAATAGCTTTATCATGAGTTTTCTGGCAACTTTGGTAGAATTCTGTAGTATGTGGTGATTATGGAATAAAATATCACTCACACATTACTGATAAATTGGATAGAAATTCTTATGTTTCCCTAGGTGTGTACATGTCAAAAGAATATTTAAAAACACAAAAATAGTATTAAAAATTTCCTTGGAAGAGGATTTGCATCGCAGGAATAGGTAACCAAGAGACCCGACACAGAATTTGATAGTGTAGATTTAAGAAACCTCAACGTGAAAAAGCACATATTCACAGCACACCAGGAGCTGAAAGTCTGCAGGCGGCTCGCTGGCCAACGACCCGTGAAGTGTATCACGCTCCACTTGTGCTGTCGTCACTTTCCTGTCAAATGACTAACTCCTTGTGGAGTCACCTACTCAATACAATATTTCATGTATGTGCGGCTGACTCCAACATGGTGATACCTCGGTGTGCTTGCTGCCAGACTCCGTACATGGCCGATGTGAGTTGACATTATCCCGTGTGACTATCACAATCACAACGTCCTTCTACCATATATCGTGTAAATATAATCCTCTCTGGGGGGTTGTGCTCTTGCATGGTGGGCTCATGTGAGTGTACATGGTATTGTTTGAGCGTGATGACGATTTCTGAGATCATTTCCACAGTATTGTATCTGTGATTGAAGTTGGTATGTGTGATACTGGTACATGAACTGACGTTAGTTGTTTTATTGCAGCCACAGACCGAACCTGTTGACCTGTCTGTCAAGCGAACACTAGGACTACCAGAGTTTGTAGCAGATATGCATGTGCATCAAGGCTTGGATTTACGCGTTGGAAGAAAAGGTGGGATATCTGTATGTCTGTGATGCTAAGGTTGATGTTAAGTGTCTGTACATGTAATGACTGTTATACAATGTGCATATGTGGATTTGATGGGGGATAAATATACTGTTGAAAAATTGGAGGTATATAAAGAAATTATAAAAGCTTTAAATTTGATTGAAAACCGAACATGTTCTATAATAAACACATTATTAAGATTTAAGAAAAATTACATACTGTGTTGGAAAATCAGAGGTATATAACAAAATTATAATAGCTCTAAATTTGATTTAAAACCGAATGCATTCTATCATAACCACATTATTAAGATTTAAATATAATACATACTGTGTTGGAAAATCAGAGGTATATAACATGATTATATACCTCTGAATGACTTTAATTAACCAATCACAATCCAGTATTTACTGAAGTTATGGTAGAATGCTATGTATCTGACGATCATCTGGATTAAGTCATTAAGTTGATGTATATCTGTAGACCAACTAGCTGTACTTTCAAAGATTTTATATCTGTATATTGGTGTCATAAAATTGATTTATCTCTCTCACAGAAATATCTGCGTTTTCAATGAGTGAAAATATAAATTTGTTTAAAAATTCGCTGAAGGTCATGAAGTGGATATATATCTGTACAGAAATGTATTTTGAAAGAGTGGATAAATATGTGTATAGCAAATAGCTGTAGGTATAAAGAAATTTGTATGCATCCATATATCACTTGGTATAATTTGTTCAGTGGATATATATGTTTATAACAACCAGCTGTAGGTAAAAAGATTTATGTATCTATCCATATTTCACCTACGTATAATTCATTAAGTGGATATATATGTGTATAACAACTAGGTGTTTTGAAATATATATATATGTGTGTACAGCAACTAGCTGTAGGTAAAAAGATTTGTGTATCTATCCATATTTCACCTAGGTATAATTCATTTATGTGTGTATCCATATAACTTAGCTATATTTCATAGATTGCTGAGAGCGGCGTATAACTAAACTCACTCACTCATAAAGTGGATATATATGTGTACAGCAACTAGATGTAATGTTGAGAGAGTTTATAGCAAATACCTGTATGTAAAAAAAGTTTATGTATCCATGTAATGCCTACATGTAGTTCATAAACTAGAGTATCTGTGCAGAATCATTGTGTATATGTGAGCACCTGTGTTTCTTCGTTATAAACTGGACAGTTCGATTGCTGGATATAAATATATGGCATAGAATTAAGTTGGTAATCAGGAATGAAATGTAACAAATAAATATTGTAAAGCATTTAATGTGGCATCTTTATTTCTGGGACTAAATTAATTATTAATACTTATACTTTATTCATTATTGTTAACGATTCTAAAACAAATGAATGGAGAATGTCTGAACATCCTGTGAAACTTGATCATTTAACAGGTACATTGTGTTTTCTCATTTCTTGAATGATAATTTTTTCAGAGATTTTTGAGAATATGTATAAAGTAAGAAATGATTAGCTATTTCTAAACAGGAGCAACACTTTATAAGGCTGATACAGACATTAATTACCTCCTCTCGTAGAAGATAGAATAGGTTGGGTTTTCCTTAAAACTATCACGTGTGAGTTTTTGTTGAAACTTAGTATTGGAAACATGGCAGAAGAAAACCGTGTGGAACACAACCGTAATGCAGGGTGTGGGAGTGGCTGCTGTTTATGCCCAAGCTTGCTAACTTCCTTGCAGGGCCACACCTGAACTTGGTTACATTCCTCTCTCACGTCCCATCACTATTGGTACAGGGACCAAACACACCTTCACACTGTTTGATGGTTGGTTTGAGTTTCGAATTGCTGTGTTCCATCCCAGAAGTATTTGTTATCTGTAGTGTCTTTTCATTTAACAGATTGATTGCCTTTTAACATTTTAGGAGTAAGTTTGAAATGTTAATGTGATGTGTTTTCCTACTTGATAAGCAGATGGTGATAAATGTTGTTTAGCATAAGATACAGTTTACTTTTAGTGTTACCGTACTGCCTCCTTTTTGTGTTGCTCGAATTTGAAATGATGTCTTCTATCTTCCATCTTCTTGGGGGTGGTGGGTAGCCTAGTGACAGGTTATGACCCGGTTCGATTCCCCACATGGGTACAATGTGTGAAGCTTTCTGGTGTTCCCCCGCAGTGATATTGCTGGAATATTGCTAAAAGCGGCGTAACACTAAACTCACTCACTCACTCACTTCTATCTTCTTGGTACCCCTTATACAGCATGGTAACTGCTGTGAAGGAAGAGTTGGGTGGCTTCCCCAGTTATTGCTGTTTAGTCATTGTATGAAGCTATCTCAGCTCTAAGGTGATCGTAACTCCGATACCCTAATGTAGAATTCCCACAGTCCTAGCGCTGATGTTGGAGTAGCCTAGTGGTTAAAGTGTTGGCCCGTCATGCCAAAGACCCGGGTTCAAATCCCCACATGAGTACAATGAGTGAAGCCCATTTCTGGTGTCCTCTGCCGTGATATTGCTGGAATATTGCTAAAAGCAGCGTAAAACCCAACTCAGTCAGTCAGTCATCATGCCTTATGCCGGGTTATGTTTATTAACCAGATTAATTACTGTAATTATTGTAATAAGTGCACAGGGAGTGTTAAAAATTGATGAATGGAGTGCATACTTAAACCATAGGTGACAATATGAATTTTTCAAGGATTGTATTGTTGTCAAAATACTTAATCTAAATGCCAATGAAATTGAAACGGTAGGATAGCGATTACTAGGCAGTGATGTATCCATGCTACAAACACCAAACACCTGTTTTTTATAAATAATGTGCATTATACACAAGAAAATATGGACTGTCAAAAACATCAGTAGGGGCACCTTTTCAGATTACTTACCACTTACCAGTTGGTTTAGAAGGCACTCAGTAAAGCCAATATGGGGTGTGTGGTGTGGGGTGGGGTGTGTGTGTGTGGGGTTGGGTGTCTGTGTGTGTGTGTTAGCCTAGTGGTTAAAGCAATCGCTCGTCACGCCGAAGACCTGGGTTGGATTCCCCACATGGGTACAATGTGTGAAGCCCATTTCTGGTGTCCCCCGCCGTGATATTGCTGGAATATTGCTAAAAGCGGCATAAAACCGTACTTACTCAGTACATCCAATAGAGTTTGTGTGGATCATAATGGCTTTCCTACTTTGAATACATACTGCCTCATCGAATATAAATATAATGTCAGGTGTATGTGATCAATCCATAGGTGGTTGAAATGTGTGATACTGATGATTTTGTGTATTTATTGCCATGGATATTGCTTATTGCTCATGTTATCGACCACTAGTTTTAACAGCCTGGGTCCCGATCCACAAAGGCTTTTTAACGTTACGAACTGTCGTAACTCTGTAATTTATCATAAGCGCACAAATGTCGCAGTGCTGCGAGGCTTTGTGGATTGGGACCCTGGTCCAAATTGGGACAAGTCACTCACTCATGAACTGGGAACGGGATCCAAGCTGTTCTAGTTTGTGACTCACCTTGGAGGGTCTTGTTGAAACCAGTTGACAGCAATTGCCTGACATATTTACACGAAAATTGGGACTAAGATTTCCAACATGTTGAAGCAAAACATTTTTTTTTAGGCAGTCAAAACAATATCCAACAAGTGTTTGTTCTCCTGGCAAGACTATTTTCATTTGATTTTGGAAACACAAACAAAAACTGTTTTGCTCACTTAATTGAAATTTTGTAAGGTATGAATTGACTGATATTGCACCTGATTGTTTGTTATCATTTAGTAAACAATCATTGATACTTAAAGGCAGATTGTTGTTCTATGACAGTGTTGTTTTGTTTGATTTATTCATGTTATGTAATGTATTGTCTTGTTCCAAAAACTTCTATCACTTTCGGCTTTCTTCCAACGATAACCAGACGATGTCATTTATCAGGAATAATGTTTTAAAGTGGCATTTAACTAAATTCACACACTAGAGTCACTACTGACCGTGCTGACATCTCAAAGATTACCAATAGGCATATTATTAATGTTTGAAAGGTATTATTGAATTTATATTATAAATGACAATATCAGAATATTGTCTGATTTTGTCCAGATAGAAGTTCAAGAGGTGAATTTAAGGAGTGAGTGAATGAGTTTAGTTTACGCTGCTTTTAGCAATATTCCAGCAATATCACGGCAGGGGACACCAGAAATGGTCTTCAGACATTGTACCTATGTGGGGAATCGAACCCGGGTCTTCAGTGTACTGAGCTTATGCTTCAACCATTAGGCTACCCCACCACCCTGATGTAGCCAAATGGTTGCAGTAAATGTTACCCAAAAGAAATCAATCAGAATCAAAAGGTTTTTTTCAATTCAATCACACAAAATGAATCAAAGCATAATTCAATACTATAGATCATATAACTCAAAAATGCTGCAACTTGGCATGAGGTGCCCCTTCTTTGGATGCAGGGACTGGGTTTGAATCACAGTTCCATCTTAGTTATTATTCTAGGATTGCCAGCACCATACCAATGCTCATGGGTTTTACTGGAGTGGTAACTGTCTGAGACTTTCATCACTTTCAGATTTCTTCCCATATTAAGAGGTACTTTGGCATAGCCTAGAGGTTAAAGCATTTGCTAGTCATGTTGAAGACCTGGGTTCGATTCTCCATGTGGGTACAGTGTGTGAAACCCACTTTTTGTGTCTCCTGCTGTGATATTGCTGGAATATTGCTATAAACAGCATAAAACCCTTCTCACTCACTCATTCAAATGTCTGCTTTAATTATACAATGTATGTTTAAAACAACATGGTGAACTATGGACCAATCATCATGGGGGAAACAGAAAATTCCTACATTTGAAGCTTTCTTCCTTGTACCCTTTTATCACAAAATCACACAGCTTTGTCAAGTCTGGAAAACTTTGTATTATGTCCTATCAAAGAGATAATGTATATTTAAACATTGTTGGTATTATTATAGCAGTCTTTATTCCCTGAACTCTTTCAGGTCATATTTGACCAAAGTGAATTTATCCTCAAGTTGCAGATTATATATTCAGGCATAGACCATGGTCTGTGAGGTCCATGGAATGTCAGAACTGCAGAAATTCATTCCATTCACCAACGTTTGTTGATTTTACTTCAATTTTACCCAAACCTGCTTTTTGGCACATATTTTGGCAGTATATCAACCACACAAGTACGAGTATGTTGCTGGTAACATAGACCGTCCACCGTAACTCTTTTGTGCATCGCTGACAAATAGAATGGGTAATATGCAATACTGTATACTAAATCAGAATGATATCTGAAATTTTTATATTTTTTTTTTCTAAATCTTACTAATCATATCTTTTACCTGATTATCTTTTATCTGTCTGAAATTTTTATATTTTTTTTCTCTAAAACTTACTAAATCAGAATCATATCTTTTACCTGATTATCTTTTATCTGTCTGAAATTTTTATATATTTTTTCTAAAACTTATTTCTCACCTTAATGACCTTTGCGGCAGCACTGAGTCATATACAGTTGTCCATAAACCTGCCGGTAATGTCACTCCCGACAGTGCAATTGACAAAGAAGGACCTTGAGCGTCATTGCCAAATGTGGAATATCTACAGTCTGTTTCAAATTATAATAAGAATGAATTGGAAGTTTCTCAACAAAGAGTGAGTGAGTTTGGTTTTACGCTGCTTTGAGCAATATTCCAGCAATATCACGGCGGGGAACACCAGAAGTGGGCTTCACACATTGTGCCCTTGTGGCGAATCAAATCCGGGTCTTCGGTGTGACGAGCGAACATCTTAACCACTTGGCTACTCTATTGCCCTTCTCAACAAAGAGGGTTGAGAAGTCATTAAAATTACTTCCAACAGCAGTGTCATTTGGAGGGATGTTCAATATGCAGTGTTTTTATTCATTTCTTTGCTCCTTGTCTATTTGCATAAAGGATACAGATTTCTTGTATTAAATCCTATGATATTGTTGGTATTGTATAGTTGTTCATGTTGTCAGTGACCACTTAGACTGTTGTATTTGTTTATTCATTCTGGGCGATGATATTAAATAATCTCATTGAAATCAGATCTCAGTGCTTGTTGCTCTGTTGGCTGGGATGATATATGTCATATACCTGGCTGTGTTGGCTAGGATGATATATGTCTTATACCTGGCTGTGTCGGCTAGGATGATATATGTCATATACCTGGCTGTGTCGGCTAGGATGATATATGTCATATACCTGGCTGTGTCGGCTAGGATGATATATGTCATATACCTGGCTGTGTTGGCTGGGATGATATATGTCATGTACCTGGCTGTGTTGGCTGGGATGATATATGTCATATACCTGTCTGTGTTGGCTAGGATGATATATGTCATATACCTGGCTGTGTTGGCTGGGATGATATATGTCATATACCTGGCTGTGTTGGCTGGGATGATATATGTGATATACGTGGCTGTGTTGGCTGGGATGATATATGTCATGTACCTGGCTGTGTTGGCTAGGATGATATATGTCATATACCTGGCTGTGTTGGCTAGGATGATATATGTCATATACCTGTCTGTGTTGGCTGGGATGATATATGTCATATACCTGGCTGTGTTGGCTGGGATGATATATGTCATATACCTGGCTGTGTCGGCTGGGATGATATATGTGATATACGTGGCTGTGTTGGCTGGGATGATATATGTCATATACCTGGCTGTGTTGGCTGGGATGATATATGTCATATACCTGTCTGTGTTGGCTAGGATGATATATGTCATATACCTGGCTGTGTCGGCTGGGATGATATATGTCATATACCTGGCTGTGTGGGCAGGGATGATATATGTCATATACCTGTCTGTGTTGGCTGGGATGATATATGTGATATACGTGGCTGTGTTGGCTGGGATAATATATATGTCATATACCTGGCTGTGTTGGCCTGTCATATACCTGGCTGTGTTGGCTGGGATGATATATGTCATATACCTAGCTGTGTTGGCTGGGATGATATATGTCATATACCTACCTGTGTTGGCTGGGATGATATATGCCAGTATACCTGGCAACAAGTACAGTAATGTAAGTTAGACATGGCAAATCATGACTTTATTCATTTCGACAGTTTTTATGTATCTGTATCTAACAATGACATATTCAAGTAACTACAGATAAATTGTTCTTGAATGTAGGTAACTACAGATGAAAAGGGTCATTGTGGTTGAACTAATACAGTCATGAGACTGAATAAATGGCTCTTTGCTGCATACAAAATGTGGAACTGATTCTATGTTTTAAAATGATATCAATTCATGCTCAGATGGGTTCAAACAGTTCACCAGGATTCCCCAACTCCTAACCTGCATTTCAAATATCGGAGACCGGAGCTAAAGCTCTAAATGGAACTAATGCAGGGTATTTATTGTTAGGAATAATTCCTTTAAATATGCATTTGACTAATATACATTAATTCATCTGAAAATGCCTGTGATAGAGAATTGAAAAAAACACCCCTGATATTATTCCAAATGGGAGGGAAGTGTGTCCCTGGTGAATGTATATAATTATTTATCACATACAAAGGAGGGAAATACGAAGATGTATAGAGAAGGTTTAATGACAGAGTGGTTTGAATATCCTCTTTATGGCGCATGTTGCCTGGTAAGTGGCGAGTATGGACGTCAAAACATGACAGCGTTGTCAACCATGACCTGTTAAGTCTTGTGTGATATTTTAATAATGATTTGAAAGAAGTCGGAGTGCCTACTTTTGAGGAATTGGCCAAACAATAAGAATGGAAAGTTCAGTCAAGCTTACTTTCAACATGTTTCAGGCATTCTTTCTTGGTCTTACGTTCGGATGCATTTATAAAGATTTTCATTATTTGATGCATAGTCATTTCACAAATGTGGTAAGACGAATATTTTTTGAAATTGTATTTTTTATATTTTTTTTCTTTCCGAGTCTGTTTATTCCTTATAATTAAATTACGAAAGAAGCTCCTGAATAGGCCAATATAGGATAACTGGCTCTTTAACTTCATTTCATTCTGTTTTTGTGTTTGATTGCATAAGAGTATATTTTTCTAAATTGTTTTCTAAATTATATTTTAATCACCAAGCCCAATTGTACAGAACAAAAACTGTAAACCAGTTGAACTAATGAATTTTGTATGGGATTAACAGATGCCTAGTAGCTTGAAGCGAGTCTGTACTAGGTATAGAGGGTCAGTTAGCCAGATCTTGATGGAGAGTGTTCATGACAGTTGAGTGTTTATTTGGTTGAATATGGTACAAGATGGATGTAAGATATTTGCAAAGCATTTCCACCAGATGAAGCTAAGTCTTTTGTATAACTGGGATTAAATTGTCTTGCAGATGAAGATCACCCGAATGTCTCTGTCGAATCTGTCAATAAAATCGGCTCCGCAGCTCTTCTGTCTCTGAGGAGGATAAAAGAAGCATCCGAGTAAGTGACAAATGTGTCTTCCTCCAGATTATTGTAGTAAGTAGATGTGCAAGAGGAACTGAAAAGATGGTCGAGCCAAGTTTGTGAATGTTTAGGTCGTACCATCACAGACCTCGGTAATAAACTCGCATTGTAAAAATGTTCCATTTTTTTTAAAACAGGCTCATGTGTGTCCAGTTGTATGTGTTGAATTTGAATTTTCTCAAGCATGTCAGAATATGATTGGTTTTAATAAATGAATTAATTAAGCTGGATTATATGTTATGTAATATATATGTTTTACCTTGATACTGTCAATTTGCTGCTCTTATTGTAGTAAGTGAAAATATATTCGACTTCACAATTCACAGTTAGATTCTCTTAATTTGTTAAGTAATAGTATGTGTTCACACACTTACTTAAAATTAATGGGTCATCAATATTTTGTGGGCAGTTATTCTCACAATGTCTGTATTCAGATGACAGAAGGCCAATCTTATGCTTACTTATTATTCATTCTCTAAGTGCATTTCAACTCATACTTCACGAATAAATTATTTTAGTTTGCAAAATCTACTAATATTTCTGCTGAAGAGTCATAACATGGACATTGCATGTTTTGAATGCTAACATGGCATTTAAGCACCGCTTTCAAGAGGGCTGTTCTTAAAATCCATTTCTGTTTTTCAGGCAGTTCAAATATTTAGAAAATGGAGGGCCAAAGAGTTCCTACCCGGTGACAATGGTTAGTAAGACAGATCCCTACTCAGACAGTCAGAAAAAACGGAGAGTCCATCGATGTGACTTTGAAGGCTGCATGAAGGTTTACACAAAGAGCTCTCACTTAAAAGCACATCGAAGAACACATACAGGTGAGCAACACTGATTTTGTTTGCCTGGGATATCGTAGGGGCTTTCTTTTACAGTGATGACTATATTTAAAGATACCCATGACGATATGGGTTAGAATTGGTCTTCAGAAACTCAGCGACTAATGAGTTTGGATGGTCAGGCTTGCTGACCTAGTTGACACCTGTCATCGTATCCCAGTTGCGTTGATCGATGCTCATGCTGTTGATCACAGGATTGTCTGATCCAGACTTAATTATTTACAGACCACTGCCATATAGCTGGAATATTTCTGATTGCAAACAAACAAACTACAAACAAACAAACTATTACCAGGCATGTTTTGAATGCTTTGAATCCAACCTGCCAGCTGACCAAATCCAGGTCTGTGTTAAAGTGCGATGAAACCGTAACATACCAGTCATGTGTGTAATATTACTTCAAGAGGGTATTCAGCCAAGTTAACAATGATGCCAGTATGCGAGAGCAGTCTTGAAACCACCTGTATTGAATTGGTCCCCCTGAATCTGTCGAATGTGTTTGTTCAGCCATCTACTGAGAATGTCAAGGTGTTACGATGACTGTGTGCTGTTCCGCCCCCAGCAGTTGCAGCGAGAATGACAGCTGTCTACTCGATTGTATGCTTTGACGTTAGTTTGTAAATTATTAACTGGTTATACAGACAGTCAAAGGAAGACTCCGTTAGATGGGAAGAGAGTGTCAAAATTTGGATATTTTTTGCGTTCAGTGAATGAGAATAGTTGTTCAGGATAAGGATGGAAACGGAGGGACCTAGTTAGAGCTGGGAATATTTGCTGACAAAGAAATAGTTACAGCATTATTTCACCCAGCATAGTAAAATTATTATTTTCGTATTAACACTTTTTTCAAGTTTAAGGCAAATGCTATTTTTAGTTATTCAATTTTTGTTACATGAAGGTGTTTTTGTTAAATGTTACTTCAATTGCACTTGTGATATTAACTTCTGAAGAATATGTATAGGAATAATGACCGGTCAGTAATGATGATATTTTGTTACAATAGTCAGGCGTGTGGAGTTTTTTGTAATTCAACTCCTTTCGCCTTCTGTGTCATGATGTATCCACCATTCAATTTTGTACACCCTGCTATTAATGCAGGGGCGATGTGGTAGCCTTGTGGTTAAAGCATTTGCTAGTTACACCGAAGATCCGGGTTTGATTCCCCACATGGGTACAATGTGTGAAGCCCATTTCTGGTGTCCCCTGCTGTGATATCGCTGGAATATTGCTAAAAGCGGCATAAAACCGTACTCACTCACTATTAATGCAAGTAACTCTCACACGAACTGATACCACCATACTACAACTTCGTGGGTTGGATTCAGCACACGTAACCGTGTGTGGACTGTAGACAGCTGGACCCTCTCTCTCACACCATGCAACTGTCATCCACTTTCACAAAACGATCTTACGACATGACTGTTGTCAGGCATGTGCTTTAACTAACTGTTGTTAGTTTTACGCCGCTCTCAGCAATATTCCAGCTATATGGTGGCGGTCTGTAAATAATCGAATCTGGACCAGACAATCCAGTGATCAACAGCATGAGCATCGATCTACACAATTGGGAACCGATGACATGTGTCAACCAAGTCAGCGAGCCTGACCACCCGATCCTGTTAGTCGCCTCTTACGACATGGGTTACTGAAGATCAATATTCTAACCCAGATCTTCATGGGTGCATGTGCTTTGACAATATTTGCAACAGTTGCAATGAAGTTGGCTCTCTGCAAACAGGCCCAGGATTTTCAAACATACTGACGCGTTTAAGGGCAAATATTTGTGAGAGTTTTAAGTTCTTTGATTCTAGTACTTATATAAAGATTTTAGTAAACAAAATGTTATTTTGGAGATTTCAGTCTGTCAGGTTTCTGTGAACCTTAACATTAGTAAAAGGAGTGTTTTGAAAGGGAAAACTTCATTTTGTATTCAGCGTCTTAAGATAAATTCCTTTTTTGTGTTATCTAAAACAAAATAAATAGTAAAGATTTATTATCAGTATTCAAATACTTCTTAACGTGGTTACTTTTTAAACCAAAATTGTTTTGATTAATAATTTGAGTTACCCAATGAATTAGTTGTAAAAAAATTACAATCGAAAGCATTTTCTAACGAACATGATTCATTGCTCGTAGTTCAAACACTTAAAGGGATAACGTTGTTGAATTATAATTTCCTTAGTTAAGCCTTCGCTGTATTGGTGTGTACTGAGTAAATATCAAACTCAAATAGAAACTGAATATGTGTAGTCTCCTGACGCCTCCACAAGTACAAATTACCTTTTTAACATTCAGATATGTCTTCATTTTGTACACATACATTTCCACTGCATATAGCCGAGAGTGAAACAGTTTTCAGAGGATTTTGTCGGCTGAAAGGAAAGAGGATGAAGTACTCGTTAAGCTTGGTGTTCACTCAAGTAGTGTTACATTCTGTTGCTTGTATTTACTCACATTTGCGTCAACTTTGCCATGTTTTCTGTATTGCATCCAGTCTTTGCATTGACACAAGCCCCCAGAATAAGCCCGAAGGAAGTATTCATTTGACCGCACCCTATGTACTTTTAGGGGCTGGGTTGTAGACAAAATTGAAACTTGATGTCAGGTGGTTCTTGGCATATTCTAACTAAAGTTGAAAGTTTAGTTTTATCTGAAATTAAGTTTTTGATAAAATGAAACACATTTTTTCAAATATGAGATTTGATATGCAGTTAATTGTGTGTCTGCCCTATGAAATATTGAACAATTGTCACAAAATTGCCTTGAATTTAGTATGACAAATACCATATCATGATCAAAGTATCATGTAATGTGATATGCTTTGAAACAGTTTGGAACATCTGTCATCGGTATTTTGGTTTTGTAAGACTTCACTTCAATATTTCCTGCAGTTATTGAATATTTATGACCCGTGAAGATGTGGGTTAGAATTGATCTTTAGTAACCCATACTTTTCATAAGAGACGACTGACGGGATCGGGTGGTCAGGCTCGCTGACTGGGTTGACACATGTCATCGTATCCCAGTTGCGTAGATTGATGCTCATGCTGTTGATCACTGGATTGTCTGGTCTCGATTATTTACAGACTGCCACCATGCACCTGGAATATTGCTGAGTGCAGCGTTAAACAACAAAGAATATGATTTGTCAGTTTGAGGACCATGTTCTTGATAACAAAATGTGCAACTACCATGTGTGTTTCTCCACCAGGTGAGAAGCCATATGTGTGCAACTGGGAGGGCTGTACCTGGAGGTTCGCACGATCAGATGAGCTGACGAGGCACTACAGAAAACACACAGGAGACAAACCCTTTAAATGTCAAGTCTGCGATCGAGCATTTTCTCGGTCAGACCACCTCTCACTGCATATGAAGAGGCACTGAAGGTAAGAACAATCAGATTATTTTTTTAATTTTGTGAAGGAATTCAATTTTTTATAGACATACTGAAAGACGTTAGAAAATGGTACTTGTTGTTGCCCAGCCGGGAGGCATTAGAAGATAAAACAAGAAATGGCCAGGTTTTGGTCCGTATCATACAGCTGAGTTGGTATTCCTGTTAAACTGATGTATCTCAGAGCTGACACTTAAAGAAGTCTAGAAACTGTATGGGGCGGTGGTTCAAGCGTTCGCTCGTCACGCAGTATCATGCAACTGAGTTGGTATTCCTGTTAAACTGACGTGGTATCTCAGAGCTGACACTTAAAGAAGTCTAGAAACTGTATGGGGCGGTGGTTAAAGCGTTCGCTCGTCACGCAGTATCATGCAGCTGAGTTGGTATTCCTGTTAAACTGACGTGGTATCTCAGAGAGCTGACACTTAAAGAAGTCTAGAAACTGTACAGGGCGGTGGTTAAAGCATTCGCTTGTCACGCTGAAGACCCGTGTTCGATTCCTTACAGTGTGGGAGGTCCATTTCTTGTGTCCCCCCCACCATGATATTGCTGGAATATTGGTCAAAGCGGCGTAAAACTCACTCACTCACTAGAAATTGTACAGGCTGTCGAATGCACAACTGCATTCACATTTCTATGTGGACCCGTGAAGATCCGGGTTGTAATTGTTGTTCAGCAACCCATGCTTGACAGATAGAATGGGTTGGTTGTTCTGTTAAGTATGTACTCTAAGGTCCGTGAAAGAGAACACATTGGGCTAACTCATGAGGTGTAGTATCTGCATCAGTTACTAGTTTTGCTTTCTTCCTTCAAACACAAGCATATTATAACAATACGTCCAGGTCCCAACCTAACCCTCACCCTAAATATCTAGATGTTTAACACAGTAAGTAGATGACTGAAAAATTGAATAAGATCAGTGTTAGTGTATGTCGTAGTGAAAAACATATCCATGCATTCAAGTTTATTGATATTTTACGAGACGTATCTTTGACATACATAGGTGTTCAAAAGTGTGATGGATGTAGAATTACGGCTTTTCCAGAGCCACCCAAAAAACTTGTTAAAACTCAGAAAGGGAAGACGAGGTGGCTGACCTAAATGAAACATGTTTTAGGCAGAGAGTCGTTGTTTGTTTTTTGCCGGGAATTTGTGTGCATTTAATTACGATCTGAGCACCAGAGTGCAGGTGTGCCAGCCCGTACTCATTGATGCAAACTCACCCGTCACACCCTTCTTGGACCAACATGGTGGTCCCTCCCTATTTGACCCAGAGAGTTACCTTCCCTTGCTTTTGCTTTGATCCTGTTTGTTTTATCTTCTTGGGATAAATAATTGGTTTAGAATTAGCGTAGGAGTGATTATAATTGGTCTCTGATTGATGTTTAGTCGAAAGTTTCCCCACCCACAATGCATTGTGTGAAAGCTGTAGTGCAGTTAAGGTTTTGCCATAGGCGATTTGTGGAGGTTCGTGCTTCTGTCTAAGTGTTGACACTGGTGTTGGGGAGTTGAGCCCAGCTCATTAGGTCAGTTGTTGATGACCACTGTTGTGGACACGTTCAGACAATGGCCTTCACCTTTCTGAGACAACAGAGTAGATGGCTACACCCTGTTGTCCAGTTTGCACAGATTTAATCAGGCAGACGCGTACTCAACCAACACAATTCCCGCTTTCAGGACTTGACCAGTGTTTGGGGTACCTGACCCCTGTCTATGCAGGATCTTTAAGAAGAATAAGTCGATGATGATGTCTCAGGAGTTCCGATTTTCCCTCATCACATGTTCAGTAACCAGACAGTGATGTGATAGCATTCGTACCTCCTATGTTACAGTATAGGAGGTACGAATGCTATGAGAAAAGTTACGATCTTAGGCTTATGAGAGCTTTGTGAAACGGGACCCTGAAATCTATTTGTTGTCACCCTATAGCAACTAGCAATAAACAAAAATCTGGTTAATTAAATAGATTAATTTCTTAAGTAATTATTGGCTGATGATCAGTTCCTGTTTATGCAAGGTATTTTTATGTAACACAATTGTCACTAGCAAACAGACAGAATCATTGTACAGCTGAAATATTGTTTAAAGAAGCATTAAAACACACTCACACATCACCTTGAACTGAAAGAATCCCTGTTATCCACAAAAGAGATATGATGTTTTTATCAAATCAGTTCGCTTACCCTTTTCATGAACATCTGGTGTCATCACTGATGTTCATAGGTCCCTTTTTATGATTTTCACAATAATTTTGCTCTTGACACCAATTGGAATTTATTTCTGAAGATAGTCAGTACGGGTATTTTTACGCTCTGACATGTTATATTCTGTTCCTATTTGGTAATTAATGATGTTCTTTGTCTTTCAGGTTGTGTAAATAAGCCTGATGGCTGTGCATCACCCCTAACCAGACCTACAAGTCTGTTGCCCAGGATGACCGCAACAAAATGGCCGCCTCCTCTTCTCACTGTACCGATGAATCGAGACTTTATTACCCAACTTTGAGGATGGTCGACATTAGGTGTCATCCGTGTGTGATAACCTCACTGGACCACCAGCCCGTCGTCTGGAGTCCAGAGCCCCTATGATTAGTGATCAAGAAAGTAGTTTCTTCTGCTGGAACTTAGTCATGAGGAAAACATTATCTACTGCTGCCTGTGATTCCAAGATGGTGGACCAGCTATCGTTTGTGATGACACTGCCCGCTTTTTTGCCATGAAAGAAAAATGGCTAACATGAGTGACCTTTGACCCTGCTGCTGATTGGTTGCTTCCATTTGAGTTTTACACAAGGATAGTTCTGTCCAGTTTGTTTGATGATCAATTTGTTGACATATATAAGCAGAGATAATATCTACATCATCTTCTAACCTCAGCCTGGTTTTTGAAGAAATAAGTTGTTGTATTTGAAGTTGATTTTTGTCTGATTGGGAGCAAGGATAGATTGTACATTGGCATTGTAATGTCTCAAGACTTATGTCTTCTTTTGTGTAGAGGTGAAATTTCATTGCCACATATTCAAGTAATATGGGAAATTATACAAACTGCTCAATATATCAACTGCTTAGACTAACAGTAACCACATGTTGCCCGCTAGATTGATGCCAAAGAAAGTTCATGAACGCAGATATTTCGAGCCTTGAAATATTACTGCGCTATGTGAACTCAACAAGACCACTATTGATGCTGAATGTGTTGAGTCGGTGACAAGATACAATGAAATATCACGTTGATATTCCCCATGACTGTATCAAAGGCTACATAGCTGAATATATTTATCATTGATAGGGGTTGTACATAATTTATAGCTTAGGGGATGATGATTTTTATGGAGTAGCATGTACAATGTGAATGTGCCGCCCCCTTCCTCCTCTAGTGGTTAAAGTGTTTGTTCGACAGGCTGTAGACCCGGGTTCGATTCCCCATATGGGTACAGTGTGAGCCAAATTCTGGTGTCCCCTGCCATGATGTTGCTGGAATATTGCTAAAAGCGGCGTAAAACCATAATCACTTACTCATGTACAAACTCATGTGTACAAAATTGATTTCTTCCCCCATATCAGCATCAACCCCCTTGCCATAAATTATGGTCCATCATAGATTGTAGTTTGCAAAAAACACAGCTGTTTCCTGTTCTTCATAGATATTTTCAGTAGGGCTGAAAAGCAAAATTATCAATGTAGCCTTTGACACTGCCCCTGTTTAAAAAAATGTCATATGCAGCTGTGATACTGTGTAATATTTTTGGAAGGAACTTAGTTTGAGGAACCTGTCTAAACACTTGTATTTTACTCATTTATGATAATTCATCATGTCTAAAGTCTCACAGGAACTTGATAATACTTGTTAATGTTTGGAACCAAGAACTTGGCAGATACACTAACTGCATTAAAAATTTTGAAATAATGTTCTTTGGATTTTAATGATGGCTGTTACCTAAAATTGAGATGTTTAAGTCCTGTGTATTTGTGTTGAAACAACAATGCAGATATCACAGTGGTCAACAGCATCATAATTCACTGTTCAGAGTCGTGTCCCTTTTTGTACCAGGATCTGCTGTCATTGTTTTGAATTCCATTCCACGCTCTCCTGAGTAATGATCCTTGGTCTTTCAAGAGAAAACCCATAGTGAGGATTCACAAGAACAGTGAAAGTCTATAACCTTCACTCCTCCATTGCTTAGCCAAAACACTAGTGATAAACCAGAAATACTATTCAAAGATGTGTTAAACACAGCTCGACAACTTGCCAAGGTCTTGGCTCTAACCGCTGACAGGCTTCAACATGGTGTGTGTCCTTCATGTAATGTACTTAAAGGGGCAAAGGGGTGATATTTTGATATATACATGTAATGCATCATCTGTTGTGTATTGTGTAACTTCTGATGGGTGTGTTATGCGATTTATAACATGGTTATGTACATTTCCGTGGTGACATGTGACCTGTCAATCAAACCATGACAACATTGTTATATATCTGTATACAATGTAGATATATTTCTGTCTATTGTGATATGTTACAAAATGTTCATGGTTGTACACAATTTGGTCCACTTTTTATACCACTTTTTGTATCCAATATTTAAATACAGATGCTTCCTTCTATGAAGATGAATGTAGAAGCTTAGATTAGTTCTGATTAGAAAATTTTCACTGTTTCGAACAACATTAGAAAAAACAGAAAAGTGAAAGTAACCAGAAATACTAGCAATGATTTTAGTGCTTTTACAGATTAACAAGGATTATTTAGTGATCACAGACCATCATGGTTACTTGGTCAAAAGTGTGTTTTAAGAACTGTCAAGAAAATATTCAAGAATAGACATGATTTCATGTTTTGAAGTTTTGAATTAGATTTGAATGGTTTTAAGTGTGAAATTGGACAGAATTGTGAAATAGTCACCTTGAGAAATACTACCTTTTTGATATTAAGTTAAACTTTGTATCATTGTCATGAGTGTGCTAGTCAGACTTTTACCCAACAGGGTTGTATATATTCATATATACAGCACAGGAAATGTCAACCAATATTTCATATGCTATAAACGTTATGATGTCAACTGACTGAAATAGACGGTTGTAGGTTGTTATTATCATTATATTGTTTCTAAAATGTATATGAAAGGAATTATAATAATTTTACTTGTGATCACTTCATGAATTAGTTCATCAAATCAAAACTAATAAAATATTGGAAGTAGCCTATAATGAACTGAGACTCCTGAACTGGATGTGGGTGTTTTAACAATTGATTTATAATGATAGATAATGCAAAGGTCATGGTAAACTGTCTCATACAATCTTGCCATGGTGATAAAAGTTAGTTCTTGCTTTGTAGTCTTGAGCAATCAATATTGTGCATATATTGCAGAGAAGAGTCTTGGAAGCTTCCGTGAAGATATGGAGGACAGAGTTATCTCCCTTTAAGACAATTTGTACATTAACAAATACAGATAATTATTGTGCCAAGTGTATTTCTGCTGACGAATGATACTTCCTTGTTTTATTTTCTATATGCTTTTAGCAGATTCACTGTACAGTGTATGTAACAGATTGATGTTATTCAGTTCCCAAACTGTGCAGAGCAATGTACAAATGCTGATCATGCAGAGATCATTATTTCTTTCACAGAGGACTTGTGTTAACAACCGCAAAACCTCTGCACCCATTTCTGCTGTTTTGTGGATAGATGTGTTTTAAGAGAAGGAAATTGTGTTTGCGAATGTTACTGTTGTTCAGAACCCTGTTTTTGTGATGGTTGCTAAAATCTTCCGATTATTTACTGCTGCTATTTATATATGTATTCATATAAAATTCAAGATGATTTATGGATAAAATAACTAAAACGGGTTAAAGTTTCAGGAGAAAGGCTCTGTGAAAATATTTTTGCCGTTTGTATTTATCGCCCAAAAAGTCACGGCGTCATCTATTAAGTTTATGCATGTAACGATGAAGTTGTTAATTCTGCTAATATATTTGGCATGAGAAGTGTTTTTACTTTTACACTGACATGGAGGCATGCACAGCGAGGAGGGAAGAACATTTCACCAGATTGACAGGTTTTATCCAATGTTCTGAAAAACCTGTGAGAAGAGTGGGTTTGGCCCTGAACAAATTTGTAGAAGATTTCCTCCAGGGGTGTGTATTTGAGCGACATATCCTGTCACTTTGGCAAATGACGCCGCGCGCGCCCATTCTAAATTCACCAAGTCTGTGTGCTTCGGTTGTACAATGAGCTGAATATTGAGTCAAGCGTTACCTGAATTGACTTCAGTTTAAACAAAACATGTATCAATTACCTGATGCTATAATTTGTACATGCATGGTCTGGGATTTAAAGTGAGATTGCAGTGTAAATCAAACTCTGTGCTGAAAATATCACACGATTAAAAAGTCAGGGTTGTATTCTCCTCATAGGGTACGTGTCACCAGCAAATGAAATGTGAAATTTAAATCTTTGTATCCGAGAATGTGTTGAGAGGTAATGTAGTATTTTAGTTTTGTGTATGTCATAATTGAATTTACCGTTTTGGAGGCCATTGATAACTGAATATCAAACAAAACAAAGAAATTTAAAAATATTTGTGAATGTTCTATGACCTGGTCCCCACCAAGGTGAGCTATCAAACAGCTCATTAGGCAAGCTCCCATGCCGGAAGCTGGGCGAGAATCGTACTATTTGTCATTGCCTCTTACACCTATTTGTGAAGCAAGCAATGTTTGCATGCCTCTGGGAATACAGTTTTCTCCAACCCGACCTGACTAGGATAGCTGTGCCGTCTCAAAGCCGAACGGGTTGTCAATATTTAGTTTGTGGTAAGGATGTTTGTCTCCTGGATGATTCCTTACCACAGGTTAATTCCTGGAACACCGGTTTTATTGAGGTTTGGCAAGTTGTCTCCCTTTACCAAGCCAGCTTATTTGAATTGTTAATTGGGGATGAAGACTTGACTCTTGCTCGAGATGGTATTATTTTAAAAATATCTTCTAGGTTCATGATGCCATTTATTAAGGGTTTTTTCTTTTGGAAAAATCTTTCATTTTAGAATTCTAGGTTTCTAGTTTTTGAAATAGAGAAATGTCAACCTACAATTCTAAAATGGAATTTTGTTTAAATGTCACTAAAATTGAATCAAGGATAAAAACATGTTGAATCAGCAAATTCCAACTGTTATTAAACAAAAGAGTTTGATGTATCAAGTTAAGAGTAATTGTAGGAAGCATAGTCAATTTTTTTAGGCTAAAAACACTCTTGGTTCTCAGGCATTGTTGCACACTGAAATCACTCCTCATGAAAGCCTCCATCAGGCTTCATTCATTTCTGTTTCACTTCTCAGACTTGAAAGGGGCGGTGGGGCAGCCTGGTGGTTAAAGCGTTTGCTCATCACGCCAAAGACCCTGGTTCAATTCCCCACATGGGTACAATGTGTAAAGCCCATTTCTGGTGTCCCCTGCCGTGATATTGCTGGAATATTGCTAAAAGTGGCGTAAAACTACACTCACTCACTCAGACTTGAAATATACAAAGTTATCTCAGTTTTCTCCTTTGGGCTGAGGAAATTTGCCCCGATGTACCGGGTAAAAGGAAAAAATATAGGATCTTTCTGCAGCTATGGTTGTTAAAAATTAGTTTCCAAGGAATCACAATTCAATCTTCATCATAAATGTATTTTAAAGACTATTTCCAAATATTCTGAACTTCAAAATGTTGTAAAATAAGTTACACATTAAGTGAAAAATGTTTCTTTATCTGTTCTTTTTTGTTGCCCACCATTTATCTTGTAGGTTGAGAATGAAGATGAGAAACACATAAAAAAAAATGAAATGGTCTTATCTAAGAAGGTTTACATGCTTTTTCACACCCCCTTGCCTGAAAACCAGTTTAGTGTTTATTTATCCAGCCTTAGTTGTTATGACATGTCATTATGTATGCTTACAAATCTGCTGCAAGGTCTTTGTTTGAACAGTTTGTTGTTATTTTTTATTACAGTTTTCTAATAATCTGGTTTCGTTACGAAACATTATTTATTTGCCATTGTGAAATTAATTATTTACGTTTGTTGAGCTGATTGATTTACGAATGGAACTAACAATGTCGTCACGACATGGGTAAGTTGATGGACAACATGGGAAGATCAATAGATTTACTTAACCAAATGTGCAATATGTAAATTCTGAAAGGTTTCAAAGTACTTACTAGTATCACTGTCGTTACATTTAAACATGATAGTGAAGTGTTGGGTGTGACTACCTGGATACTCTGTGTGCTCCAAGCTGGCCCCCGTTTCACAAAAGGATCGTAGCTAAGATGATCGTATTTCCCATACTTTAACATAGATTTAAGACAGTTGTAGTGTTACGATCGC